TCGCATTAGACGCTAGTAAACATACTCTGACTATTTTCTTTGACATCATGAATGAATACCACAAAAAGTTTATATAAAAATTCTTTATACACCAGAGACCGTCACAGGGCAGGGCAAAATCTTTTGCCCTGATATTTTTTTTGTAAGCAATTGTTTAAGAGAAATTTTTCTTTTAATAATATTGATATGATGAGAGATTGAAGTAGATGTCTTGGTACATTGATCAATGTCAATTTCGCGACTAAATGTGGTCACGACAATATACATTTTCTTCATTGGATCTTATATAATCCATTTATATGCAAAGGTATATATATATATAAAGACAAAGATGATTGAAGAGGGACTACAATACATTCTAGAATAATCTAAAATTATGTAAGACAACGAGTTATTTTTTTTTCTGGATGTATATATAGTTTTACTGTGGTCTGTTTATTATGCTCTATAGATTTTTTGTGATCAGACGGTTATTTTGTGATAACTATCTATTTTTTAGATGGTATTATGTTCTTAATGAAAATCTTCATTGCTTTTCTTGGTCGCGTTTAGTTTTATTTTAAAAACATCTATATTTATTGTCAGATTTTCTCGAAAGCACGTAAATAAATTATGAATACTTGGTTTGAATATAGTTACAAAATTTTATCGAAATCTTATACCTTTTATAACTCAAGTTCAACTTATAAGCCCTGCCCTGCAGGGCAGAGCAGGGCAGGGCGAAAAAAAATTAATATATTATTTTCAGGGCAGGACAGGACAGGGCTGAAAAAAATGACCTATGACGGTCTCTGATCCATATACATACGATCAAGGTCTTTATGCAAGTGTTGTCGGTGATGAACTTACATTTAGTGGTACTAAATCTCAATTAAATGAATACATTTGTCAATATTGGTGAAACGTATTGAGACGAGAATTCTTATGCGAACTTATATTCATTGAAATATCTCGATTTTTCTATGAACTTTTTTCAAATTAATCAAATTTGGAAAAAAAACTCACTGTTTTCTGAAGTGAATGTCTTTGTATAAATAGAAAACTAATAAGAATTTAATATATCTTGATTTTACTCTTAATTCTAAATCAAATGAAGAAGCATTCTCAGAGGATTCTTGAAATTTCAAGCTGCAACACAACGTAACGTAAGCGATACTTAATACCAGTTCTTAAAAGTATTGAAAAAGAAAAATGAATTTGTACCGCTGCGTCAATTGTGGAACTTCAAGAAGTTATTTCAAAGTGAGAATGAATTGTAAATGTGTGATTATTTGCTTTGGAATAAGGGATGAATGTGAATAAGATTGAAAAAACTTGTTGGTAGGAGTAAAATGACTCAGAAAAATACTTTTTATACTCGTCTCTTCATTTGCCGATTGAATTCCAGGTGGCATTGACGATCAACATTTTTTTATTTGAGTTGCAATTCTTGACTTTTGCTGCATTGTGTGCGATGCATGAGCGGTAAGATTGATGTGAGCTTATACCAGAAACAATCCGATTCAATATCTATTTGCTTATCTATTAGGGTGCAACGTTGATGAATCGGAATGAGTAAAAGTGTATGCTTTCAGAGTATTTACCGGAACTATTGATATTTTTATTTTCAGAACATATTTTGTGCTTTCGCATAATGCATCAGGAGATGTATGCGGTGCTTTTCGTGATTTTCTGTATGAAATTATTTTTCTATTTTGCGACGTATGTTATTCACGCTTGAAGGAGGACTAGATTCAATAGGATCGATTGGAATTATAGCAACTATTGCATTTGGTTGATAGTGCTAGATTATATGCTTTAGAACAGACAGAAGATGTGAATAAAACTTCAAATATCAATGATCTTCAAAATACTCAAATTAATATGATGTATTTATCTAATTTGATTGTAATTCGTCGTATTGATAAAAAAAAAATACTAATTCTATATTTAAACTCTATTCTTTTTTTGTCTTTGGTAATACTCTTATAATATATCATTCGAAGCATATTTTACATGAAAGAACAAGTAATTACGTCTAAATTTCAAACAGGGTATGTGTTTCGCTCTGACTCTGCCTGTGACTGTGACTGTGGATGTAGTGAAAGAACTAATGTGCACACCCACACACCACACCCAAAGAATTATTTTTCGCAGTATTTTTATTCTGATAGCATACCATATAGAATCAAATATAACATCGCTACTAAGATTATTAAAATATTCAATGACTACTTGAGTATTTGAAAATCAAACATTTTTAATTACTCAATTAATTCAATGAAGGAAGTGCTCTCAATGTAGTGTGTGCCGGGTACTGACAAAAAATAGAATCATGTACTTGATGAGTACATTGGAAAAAATAATTTTCCCCATCAACAGAACTCAGTGAGAACAGAAACAGTCTAAAAAAAATTCATTCTCATCAGTCTTCTCATCTTATTCTGTGACAAAAAGATTCTAGTTTGAATGATTCAAAAAGGCAGGATGCGTGGTGTGGGTGATAATAGGTAACTCATACGGTATGAGTCATACCGTAGACTCCACAGCCACATGCAATCGATAATCGAATATATAAAATTATTTACATGAATTAGAATGTAAAGAGTTCTCGAAAAAAGTAAATTAAATTGAAGTACATTACTGCACGATGCTACATTTGCTAATGTACAAAGAGGTAAAAAGAATAGATATACGTGTTGGTAGAAATGTTGATTATTTTCGTAAAACTGATATAAATGAAATATTAGATTGTTATCAACAAAATATTGACCAAGATGATTGAAATAACATCAAAGAGCTAAAATCTGAGTGGATCTACACATATTATAATGATGAGAAAGACTTTGGATAATATTATGTGTATAGGGATATTAATTAAGCGTAAAGAACAGGCTATTGTATCATAAACAGAAATACAAAGATTAATCAATGTATTGAAAATTTCTTTGATATGATACATTTATTGTTAGTATGACTTTAGTAAAAACTAGTGCAAACAATGACGGGCAGTTAATTGTTGAAGTTAATGAAACTTACTGTATAGTTACATATGAAATGTGTTCGAATTTTAGAAGGAATTTGATTAGGGTATATGTTTACTTTAGATTCCTATGACTTTTATAAAGAACAAGACATTGTTTTACTTAAAATGCTTTATGATATCATTACAATACGGGCAGATACAACAAGGAAGACACAATTAATAAAAGAATTTGAAAAAAGTTTGTCATTTTATTATTTTTGCATCCATCCGTTTTCAAAACTGCTGATGTTAAGAACACATGATAAATTTATAAGCAAAACTCATCAATCCAGAAAATGGAACATATGATTGAAGTATTCCATTGATTATTGGATATTTCAAAACTATCTTAATGCCTGTATATTATGAATATTTTCTGCAATGTTTACATAATAAATTACCGAGAGATAAAAATAGTATTGTTGAATGATTATTATATGATGATGAATATCAAAGAGTTAAAACAATTGCAAAAAAATCAACAAAAGTCTGATTATGTTTAATAAAGTTTTATCCGATATTTTAATGATGAAATATGCAAACCACTTGAATTAGTCCCAGAAGCAACTACTGGTAAAAATCGAAAATTAATTAATCACCAATCTGAAGTTGAACGTTATAAAAGTATTTTGCAATATAATGACAGTCAGCTTACGTTAGTTGAAATGTTCTTGCTGTTTTTAGAAACATGTCAAAATAATGTTAATTATGATGATTAACGAAAAGAAATATTGATGATTTTGTATTTCAATCATCGTGCATCAACAAATGTGACAAAATCAAATGTATTAACTATTATAGATTACTAGATAGGTTCTGAGTGTTCATGTCACACCCACACCCTGAGAAAAGTATTCATCTAAAAGGACGATAGCTGATTAAAGCAAGGAGCATATTAACAAACTGCTAGTCAAAAGTTATTGCTGCTTGTACGAAAAAAAGTGACACATATTTTCTTTCTTCCAACAAAATCTCTGTTGAAAAAATATTTTATCCATCGATGTCGACGCCGTCACTGGCATGTTGACAAACGACGCAATGAAAAAATTTTACAATTCAAGAAGAACGAAAAAAATCGCTGCCCATAAAAGACATGCCTTTTCTAGATTCACTTGTTCTTTTTGTTTTTCTCTTAAATAATAGTTTATCCACCATCATTGTATTTCCATTGATAAAACATGACTTCTTCGTCTCACGAAATAGATATGACATCAGAAAACAATGATTCGTCCGCTTCCCAAACAGATCAGGTATAGTTAACTGTTAGTAATATAGAAACAATGATAAAAAACAAACGAATTTGAATTAAAAGGAAACGGAAGACGGTACGAGTAGGGCAAATATGAATGTCCAATCAAGTATTAGTAAGTCAATTTATATATCAATCGTTTTTATTAAATATTATTTGTAGGTACCATCGATGATTTTGTTAATCAAGAGCTACCATCATCAAACTGTTGTCATCATTTCGAACAACAAACCACTGATGACGAGAAGATATCAGAATCTATTGTCGACCCAGCCGGTTAGAAATTCGAATGCGAAAATGAGTTATTCTATGTTTTTTTTAAACTTTTTTAGGTCCTCTTCTCACTCAAGGACGTTTAGCTCAGAACAAACTAACTACCTTAACAAAAGATGCAACTGCACCAGTCACAAACGCATTCGATCCAATACCTCCTTCTACTAGTAGCATTGTCATCACCGAAATTGATGGAACAATACCCAGTGGTTATGCTGTACCGCTTACTCCATCAACAACACATAAGAGAGGTATATAATTTGCATCAGAAACATTTTTTTAATGTTCTATTAAGGGAAATCTAGAACGCGAAACGAACGTTGAAACTAACAAAAAAAAACATATTATGATAAGTTATAATCAGGCTTCCGCATCAATTGTATGTAAAAAAATCTATGATTCTCTCAAGGTAAATCAATAAGATATTTAGAAACGCGTAAATACTCTGAAATATAATTATTAATATTTAAAAATAGGCATGTGGTTTCAATGTGTGGTTCGATCAAGTAGATCTACATGGCAGTGTACTTGATTCAATGGGTGAAGCAGTTGATAATGCCTATATTCTTCTTTTGTGCATCAATAATGGATATTCTAACTGTGCCTCTTGTAGAATGGGTGAGATATTATTTCTTTTGAATGTTAACTTGTATTGTTATAATCATATTTTTTCAATTTTTAGAGGCCAAATACGCGACTGAACGCCGAATTCCAGTGATTCCGTGCATGATGGAAGAAGACTTTAAACCACACGGTGGACTTGGTATTATTAAAAGTGATCTAAAGCATATTGAGTTTTTCTACGAGGATAAATTTGATGAATCATTTGAGAAATTGATCGAGGAAATTATTCATATTGAAAAAAAAATAGACTTGCAATCAGGTAAATCCTTTTTTTTTTATTGATTTTATCGGTTGCTATAGATTTTTATTTCATGATTCCAAATACAGGAGTTACTCCAATAAAACAAGCTACTACCGAACAATTCACTACGTTAACAACAATTTCTCCATGTTCTTCTAATGATACGAAGTTTTGTGAACGATTTAATGCCATCATTTGTGAGTATATTGAGTCGATTCAGAAAACCAATATTCGCCGAAAAAACCTCAATGAGAAAGATTTTGGAAAAATTTTGCTTAAGCTTATCCAAGAATTTTCCCCGGAAACTTTCCAATCGTTTCTAAAGCAACAATTCGATGGTGTTGATAGCAGAGAACAACAAGAAAATGATTGTCTCATACAACACCTTCTCCAACACAACGAACAATTAAAAGAAGTTATTCGAAATCAACAAGAAAATAATGTTCATATTCAACAATATCTTGTTGATCAAGATGAACGGTTAGCAGCATTTATGCGTTTCCAACAAAAGCAAGAACAAGAAAACGCTCATTGTTCTCACCGTCATAACAATCAAAGCGAACAGTTGCAATCGATTGTTCATCTTCAACGAGAACAACACCAAGATAATATTTATCTTCAACAACAGATTTTTCATCAAAACGATCAATTGACTCATATTAGTCATAGACAACAGGAGCAGGAACGAAATCATCATATTTCCGATAAACTTCTACAACATGTTAAACAACTGACACAACTTGTTGTCGATCAGCAACAACAGCATGCTAGAAATACTGAAGCTTTACATCAATTGATGAATCGACCATTGGACAAAAATGAATCGTTAGAAAGTACAATGAATGAAAATTTGATACTACTTGATATTCAAGAACGAGCTGGAATTCGTTTCAATTTCGGTACATTTAATAAATTAGTTCAAACAATTGTACTGTTGTGGATATTAATTGTGATCTTGAGGGACGAATAAAACATTCTACTTCTTTTTGTAGATCTGTTTGGATGCGCGGGTATAGGCGTAGATAACGAAAAGAAGAACACATATTACCAGATCTCACACTTTTCACTTGAGAAAACTGAGTGGTTGTTATTTTTGAGGAATGTACAAGCTGCTTTTCCCTTCGCTACACTTCAAGAGTCGATGGATGTGACTCTTGAGCGTACGATCTGATGCATGCCTGTCGTCGCAATACCAGCAATCGCACCCTATACAAGTATCAAGCCTCATCCTGTATTCTTAGTCGTAAATCGACGTCGAGAGTTTTCCGTTTTGCTACATTGATATTTTAACTTCTTTTTTATCTTGGACTTGATGAAAAATCTGTTGTTGAAGATAAATATTATCT